TTCCTACTTACCAAATTGCACAGGTATGTAGTCCCCAAGTCTGCAACTCTTTTACTTTTATGATGAACTTGTTGCTTCTGTATACGTTAAAACCGTCGCAGGGCCGCCGTGTTAACTGGCCCACGCACAGTGTTTATGGTTTGTCTGCCCCCCCCCCACTCCACGTGCCCAGCTCAAATAGCTCATACCAGGAGCTAAAGCAAATTCCGCACGGCTTCCATGCGGTAGTGGCCTAGTTTAAGGATATATGTCCTCAGCCGGGGTTTGAACCAGGCCCTCCCGACTGCGAGGAAACAGCCAACCCGCTGTGTAACCTTGGCTCCTGTGGCAGTGAGTGTGCACGCAGCGGTCATTATTGTGTATCGTGCATAGCTTGTAGCGGCGCTCTCAGTCACGAGGAAGCGGTCGTGGCCTGTTTGTAGGTACTACCGCGGCGTTTGTGTGGCGAGACACGGAAATTACGAGGAACCTCCGTTAGGGCAGCCCGTGACCCGTTCGAGTTCACAAGCTTTACTGTTTCAGAGGTACCAGGTAGATGGTTTCATTGTTCTCTTGTTTAACGGCGACGTGTCGATGAGCGTGAGCATGCCGCACCAGAGTTTCAGATTGCGAGGAAATGTTGCGCCGATTGGTTCGGATCGTCTGAGAAGCGTGAAGCTCAGGAGTCCATCCTCCAGGAATAGGAGCCCCTGCTATAGTTATATATATCGTATGGTATTTCTTCTTCTTCTTCTTGTGTTGCTCCCGCTTGGAGCATATGGCGTGCGTGAAACGCTTCGTTTCACTTCTTAATCTAAGACAGTTGGTAGGACTCCTTGGACGGGGGATCAGCCCGTCGCAAGACCGCTAGTTAACACAAATGGAAATTCAAGCCTTCAATAGGATTCGAACCCACGATCCCAGTGTTCAAGCCGGCGAAGACATTTCATGCATTAGACCGCGGGGCCACCGTGATAGGCTTCCGGTATTTAGGCTGTGATATTTATAAATGGAAGCGAACCTCGATCCATTCATCTCCATAAGCACCGGAGACGAGGCGCACTCTGGGTCACACTTGTCAGTTGCTTCTGCCACCAGCCCGGTCACAGAGGACATGAAAACTGGGCGAGGGAGAAAGGATGGGTGGGATATGAAATCGGATTGTGAATTCTGCAAGCGTGCAAAATTATAAGACTTCTTGTGTCTGGCAGCCGTGAGAAGTTGGCAGCTGAGACGTTACTCTGCAATCAGCAGCATCATAGTGAGATCGTTAGCTCTGTTTTGTGCAGAGTGTCAAAGGGTTTGTTTGTAGGCGCACAGAGCAGGACAGCGGCAGACGGTACTGCCATGAACACTGCAGACGGTACTGGAATGGAACACTGCATGTGGTAACTGAACAAAACAATATAGGCGGTGTTGGAACGGAACACTGAAAATGGTAAATGAACAGAACACTATAGACGATACTGGAGCGGAATACTGCAGGTGATAACTGGAACGGAGCACTGCAGACGGCAACTGAACAGAACACTATAGACGGTACTGGAGCGGAACACTGCGCGCAAGTAACTAGGGCCTTGTGGGTGCAAACCGACCTCAGTTGGCGCTCGGATCTTCCTACCCGGTATACAGCATGCACTTGAGTGGGGCAGTTGGATTGCTGTGGCACTTATGGACGGGCCTCCACATTCTAACGGAAAACTGTTCTCATTTCATATAGATGGAAGAATCTTGTTTTAAACAGTTAATCTAAAGAACCTATTCTTATGAGGTAAACACAGAGAAATTCAAGTACAGTGGAACCTCGCTTAACGAGCACCTCTCATAACGAGTAATTCGCATAACGAGCAAAACAAAATGTACAAAAATGACTCTCTTAACGAGTGACGTTTCGCATAACGAGTGACGAGAGGGGAAGTCCCGGACTGTGCGCTTGCTACATCAGTCTGTGTTTAGCACTCGTTCCGCTAGCTCTTAGTGTCGCTTGTGATCACACATTTTTCCAAACTTGTGTTCAGACATATTATTTGTGATTTTTTGTGCCCCTTGCAAAAATATCCCCGAAGAAAAAGCCGAAAAAAGATAGCCATAAGAGAATAAAAATAATCGTAGAAGTGAAACGTAAAATCATTGAAAAGCGAGAACGAGGTGTGAGCATGGCTGATGTAGCACGCACATACAGTCGGTCTACATCAACAATTTGCACTATCCTCAAGAACAAGGACAAGATTAAGGAGACAGATGCTTCAAAGGGAGTGACAAGAATATCCACGCAACGGTTACGTATTCTCGACGATGTTGATGGGTTGCACCTCATATGGATAAACGAAAAGCAATTGCAAGGCGACACTAATAACGAGAACATCATCTGTGAGAAGGCGAAAGTGATTTTCGCCGACCTCGTTAAGAAGGCGCCAGGAGCATCAACGGCCGAAGGAAAAGCATTTAAAGGAAGCGGTGGGTGGTTCGAGAAGTTTAAGAGAAGAACCAGGATCCACAGCGGTGTAAGGCACGGTGAAGCAGCAAGCTCCGACACAGAGGCAGCAGAGAACTTCATCGGCGACTTCAAGAAGCTCGTAGATTCTGAGGGTTACCTGCCGCAACAGGTTTTTAATTGTGACGAGACGGGTCTCTTCTGGAAAAAGATGCCGAAGCGAACCTATATAACAGCAGAGGATAATGCACTGGCCGGCCATAAGTCAATGAAAGACCGTCTCACCCTGCTATTTTGTGGCAATACAAGCGGAGACTTGAAAATTAAACCGCTGCCTGTTTACCATTCAGAAATTCCAGGATCCTTCAAGAAGTGTAAAGTCCAGAAGAGCAGGCTAAATCTGATGTGGAGCTCCAACAAGGCTTGGGTGACATGTGACCATTTTTACTGATTGGATCAATGAAGTGTTTGGTCCTTCTGTGAAAAAATATTTGCTTGAGATGAATCTGCCACTCCATGTCTTGCTTGTTATGGACAACGCTCCTGCCCATCCTCCAGGCCTACAAGATGACCTACTTGAAGAATTTAAATTCATCAAGATCCAGTTTCTGCCTCCCAACGCCACTCCGTTACTCCAGCCTATGGACCAGCAGGTTATTTCTAACTTTAAGAAGCTGTACACTAAAGCACTCTTCGAGCGTTGTTTTGAGGTAACTGAAGGGACCAAACTCACTCTCAGAGAGTTCTGAAAATATCACTTCCACATAGTTGCCTGCCTCAAGATGATCGAAAAGGCGTGGGAAGGGGTTACCAAGAGAACCCTCACTTCTGCTAGGAAGAAGCTTTGGCCGAGGAGCGTTGTCGAATGTGACTTTGAGGAGTTTGAGATAGTACCTGTTGATCCTGTAGTCAACAAGATTGTGTCTTTGGCCAGGATCATGGGGCTGGAGGTGGATAACAATGATATTGATGAGCTTGTGGAAGAGCACAGCCAAGATCTGACCACCGAAGAGCTTATGGAGTTGCATTGTGTTTCACAGCAAGAAGTTGTGGAGGAGAGTTTGTCAGAGGAGGAGGAGGAGGTAACAGAAAAGCAACAATCTTCTGGCGCAATAAGAGAAATGCTGAAAGCATGGGAAACTTTTGCATCGTACATTGAGAAGCATCACCCTAATAAAGCAGTGTCTATGCGCTCTACAAATTTATTTAATGATAATGCTCTGTCGTATTTTCACCAAATTTTGAAGCGTCGGCAAAAACAAATGTCTCTAGACAGCTTTCTAGTAAAAATTAATTAGATATGTATCATAAATAATAAACTAATTATTTCGATTTTTTTGTTTGTTTTTTCCTGCAAATCTTAATTCGGATTCTAGGTTGGTTCATTCCGCATAGAATAAAAGATGAAGATGATTCACGCTCCTTAACCACGTATAAATAATTTTTTTTTGAATAAACGTTATACATAAGGTTTTTTGAGTATTTTTTTCGGCATGGAACACATTATCATATTTTACATTAATTTATATGGGAAAAATTATTTCGCTTCACGAGTGTTTCGCATTACGAGTAAGATTCTGGAACGAATTATGCTCGTTAAGTGAGGTTCCACTGTATATATTTCTGTCTTGTCATCAAAATGCAGGGCAAAATCATCACATAAAGATAGCAGTGCGATCCTTTGAAAATATGGCTCAGTTCAAATGTTTAAAAACGACAGAAACAAATAAAAATTTTATTCAGGACAAAATTTAGAGGAGACTGAATTCGGGTAATGCTTGCTACCATTCAGTTCAGAAGCTTTTGTCTTCTCGTTTGCTGTCTAATAGCTTAAAAATATGAATATACTGTAATGTACAAGGCGTTTGCGTGACAAATAATAATGGATTCTGGATTTGAAGATTGGATTTATTGGCACTTTAAAATTACAAGAAACTATAAGGGCTATCGAACTCCTTCTGAACACCGCGTGTCTTGCGAATCTATCACTAATCTCGGACTGATCTCTTCTGCTGCTTGAATTCATGAATTCACTGCCTTTTGTAACTTCCACGCGACCCTAATAGAGATCATGGCTTCCAGATATTCCGCTACTGTGTTTCATGAAACCATTTTCTCGGAATCTTGTGTTAATTTCGGGCATCTCTTTGATTCCTCCAAACGTGTTCGTTGCCGCAAAACGTGTTTTAACAATCCGTTGTCTAGCAATGGATATTGCAATACAAAACTGTAATTTTACATATGGTTCAGTATGGGTATGAAAGTTGGTCTCGAACATTTTGGGAGGAACATAGACTGAGGGTGTTTGAGAAGAGGGCGCTGAGCAGAATATTTGGACCAAAGAGGTATGAAGTGACAGGAGGTTGGAGAAGACTGCATAATAAGGATGGTGAAGTTAGTCAAGGAGGACGAAGTGGGCGGTCCTACTAAAAAGTCTAGACTTAGATGGGAGTATAATATTACAATGAATCTCAGAGAAATGGGTTGTGAGTGTGTGAACTCGATTCATTTCGTGTAGAGTAGGGACTATTGACGTGACCTCTGCAGTTGATACATAATTACTTAATCTATACTTTCGTTTCTCCAGGTTTCCAGCGGCAGCCATTCACTGTACCGACGGGGCTGGCAAGTGGGAGACACTCCAGGAGCTCTTGGGCTCGTGTCTCGCCTTGACGGAAGTTCTTGTGAGTTCCTTTACCGCCTCCAGGCAAGTGCCGCTGGTATGGTACGATCGCTTCCTTCCACATCCCTTCCGATTCGCTGTTAGTAATTACACCACCATTCGGTAGTTAGAGGAGTCAGGATAGCTCAGTCGGTACAGCGACGGGCTGGCCTGCCGGGATTCGATTTCCGGCAGCGTTAAGATTTTTATCTTCTCCATAGCATCCAGACCGACTCTGGGGCTCACCCAGCCTCCTATGCTATGGGTACCTGGAGCTCGCTTATCCCAGGCGTAACGAGGAGGGGGCGTGAAGCTGACCACTCACCCCCATCTAATGCCGAGGTAAGGAATGGCGGAGCTATACGCCTTCATGGCGTGGTTCTTAATTAGTTAAGCACAGAGACAACTTTACCTTTCCCTTAGACAGTGAGTTCGGGCTCCAGAAATAGTCGTTAGGCCAACTTAAGAGTGCCCAAGCTCAATCCAGGGCTCCTACTGCTCGTCACATGTTATTGGAATGGCCAGTCAAAGAGGGCGAGATTGGCAGGGCATGTAGCAAGAATGGCAGGGACATCCTTAGTTTTGTTGCGAAAGCCTGAAGTAAAGTGACCAGGAGGTAGGTTTGGTCTTAGATGAGACGATAGCACTAAACTGGGTCTTAAGAGGAATGGGATGCGAAGATGTGGACTGCAGTCAAGGACCAGTGGAAGGTACTTGTGAAAAGGACTTTCGGATGTGGTGAAATGTTGAGAATTTCTTGAACGGCTGAGCGACTACTAGCTTCTGAAGGGAGACTCAGTTCCATGGAGTTAGGTTGACCTGTGCCCCTGAGGTGGACACTGATGTTAGTCAACGTGAGGAGTTAGACCACCGGCGTGCATACGGCCAGCTTGACCCTCGCTGTGGACAGACCCCCAATTAACGCTTGGTGTGCAGCTAGCTCTGAAGACGAACCCCCTACCCTGGGTGCAATTCCTTCATTCCCACGCCCACACAAATATTGTCAACTGAGCTACTCAATTTTCTCTTCTTCGTTTACTTGTAGAAGTTTCTGTCCCCCCCCCCTCTTTCTCCAAACCAGCAAGATGGCTGACAGTCCCCTCCCACTTTGCTTCCTTATGCCCATTTGGATTCAACAAGAAGAAGAAGAAAAAATGCTTTATATATTTCCAACTTGTTCGGCCCAGTCAGCTTTGAAACTTCAACTAGCGTCCGTCCGTCCGTTTTCTGATTGTCTTGTCAAGGAGCGACTACGAAATATATCTCAGGTTTATATCTGCCAGCAACTTCTCTCCTCGTCCTCCTTTTTATGTGTTTCTTTTTATTCTCTTGTGGGCCTGGAAACCGCCGGCTTTTTCTGCAGAAGAAGCCAATCTCATTCGTTTCTCTCATCCGCTTTCAATTTTCTTCATGCCTCTCTCTCGCTGCCTCAGTAACAAGCCCGACGGAAGCTCCTACTGAGGCAACTGATTCGCTCGCCACGAGGAAACTTTTGCTGCTTGTTATCGCGTCTTGTAAGCAAAGCACATATGTCCTGCTGTATAAATATATGAGCAAGTTTTATCGCTGTCATCGCAGTTTGGGGTTGCCATAGCAACGAATTGCCGGAACGTTATACATTTCTAAAGGATGGACTTTGCCTGTCGTCCGCTGTTCTAAAGATCGCAACGTTTGAAATCGCAGAGACTGAGGTTAGCCCTTTCCAAGGGACACAACAGAGTGTTTGTACCCCCCACCCCTGACGACGGAAACATGTCCAGATTCCGAAACGTTCTGTCCTTTAGAATACCGGACGATAAAGAAAAATGAAACAAATCTGACGTTGCGAGAAGTACAATTATGTAGTTGGTCACGAACGAGCGAGCAGTCTTTTCTCTGTGTCTGATGGTTCTGTTGCGGGAATGCTCGTAATATTTTTCTGTGGGTATGTGACGTCTGTAGACCGTGAAAGGAGACGGTTTGCGGGTGTGCTTTGTTAAAAGTGGAGCCGGACTTGTCATTGCGGAACGTATGGGACCGAAAGGAATGCGGGTGAAAGCCTGGGAAGCCAGTAGTGCTGTGACGTATAGACCCTTTGTTAGGCAGAGACCTTGAAACAAGCAATGAGTGCAGCCGTTGCTGTGCAACGGGAGAATAAGCAAACGGCTGTTTCTGAGCAACGGCTTGGTAAACACGTACCCGCGGAAACGGATACACACCGAAAAATAGACTTACTGTTTGAAACAGGGGTTTTCAGTGTGGTCCTTGTAAAGTGGTTATAAAGAAGATAATTGTGGCAATCCAGCCAATTGAAGGTTGGCAGTTCAGTTGAGCTGACAGCTGACAAGAGTTCAATTGCGGGATATTTGCCGGACACTAACGACATGAGCGCGTGAAGCTGAAGAATCTCCACTGTTAGAAGCCGTTGGCAGGGAACGGCTGGTTAAATGAGAACAGGCTGGAAAAGGCTTCGCGGGTGCTTGTTGTGGGCATCAGAAGTAGCGCTGTAATTAAGTGTAGTCGCGGGTCGTGTTAAAGTGTAATACCCAATCCATACTCCATCTGTAGTCACACCCCTAAATCGTGTCAGTACGGAGCCTTGTATAAAGAATGGCGACGCTGCCAGTTGAGCCCACAAGGGTTGTCATATAACCACGCACCCTGCCCTGGCTTCGTGTCGCTCAGCCCCCACGTCACCCTTGCAGGGTTATCGTCAGTTACCTCAGGGGCTGCTTTCCCCGCGGGGGATAAGCATCTCCAGCAGGGGGGGAGAGGATGTGGCACAGAGTTCCCAGATCATGCAGCTGTCCTCTCCTTGTTCGGTCACGTGATTTGACTTCACACGGGCCTGTGCTGTGACCGGTGTTGAAGCCTGACGCCTGCAGGCGGGACAGACATTACTCTGCTGTCGGCTGGGAGCACGGTTCGAGTTTTCACTTTTGACGCGCACACGACGAAAAGTTGCAAAATTCTGTATTACCTTCGTCATGTGTGCTGGCTGTACGTCTGCGTGTAACATGCTGACAGTCGCTCAACAGATTTTCATGAAATTTCATATTGAGAAATGTTACCGTTTTTTTTTAATCTCCCAATTTCGATTGAAACGGACAAGAATGCCGGACACTTCACATGAAGACCTGTGCATGTTTGTGCGCGCGTCTCTCAAACGTCACTCGCTAAACGTTTTTCGGAGCGGAAAATGTTCCGGACAGAACTTTTATAGAGAGCAATGAATCACGTTTTATGTACACCGCAGTTTTCCCAGAAGGGAGTGAACGCGCCAGAATTGTTACGCTCTGCACTCGTTTCCTAACTTCGTATAAATTAAGATTTCTCTCGGCTGGGTTCTGACGCCGTGTAAATTGTCTGTCGGTTAACAAAAGTTTGGAGGAACCCTTTGCCTGCACGTTTAGCGGGTAAGGCTATTCCTCCTAGACGGTTGTACCCGTCTACAAAACTACACGGCGTCACTTTCCAGTCGTCAGTAATATTTACAGTCACAGTTTGAGAACTCCATGTCACTGGTGGAAGTGTATTGCGCTCTGCTTCTGGTCACGTGAGACATGGCGAGACCAGAACACTCGCAGTATATTCTCACGTTCTGCTGCTGCCTGTAGCGCGACTGGTTCGCGCTGCCGCCATGTTAGTCTCACGTCCTTGCGACGCATTCGCCTACAGCCGATACGCCGTACTACAAGGAGCCCTCTTGTCTGTTCCCTCTGATGCCCTCCCCGCACACAGCACTTAATTGCCCTTGCTGGCCCTTCGAGTAATCCGCGGATCTGTTACTTGGATAGCGGTCAAGCTCAGCGGTACCTGCACGCGTCTGTACGTCTCCACAGCGTCTCGTCATTCGCTTCTCAACTGTTGCCACTCCCCGTGAAGCGGCCCGGATAGTAACAGTAACACTTGCAATTCTGAAATTCAGGCCTAAAATAACGTGTGAAAATCCAGTTAATTGTGAATAATTATCGAAAGGTCGCAGGTTCGATTCCTGATGAGATCATCGGATTTCTCAATTGACCTAATCCTTCCAGCCGCACTATGGCCCTGGGGTCGACTCAGCCTATAATAGAAATGAATACCAGGAATCTTCCTTTGGGTAAAAGACGGCCGGCGCGTAAGACTGACAACCTCACCGCCAAGTGTGAGCCGATTGTCTAGAGAATATATGAAAGTCGCGAAGTCTCGCAACCCTATGGGCCTCCACGGCCTGTGACAGGAATATGGTTTTTACTTGTTTGTAATTATAATATAATTGCGAGCATAAGAATTGATATCCTTCTTGACAGAACAGCTTTTACGACTCGAATAGAAAGATCAGTTAGTTAATTGTGTTCTTACAAAAGATACAGACATGCTGTGTGGAGAAAATGTAGACTTTTTTAATGTTAGGGCAGGTGGCCGATATCGTAAACACTGGGCACAACTTTCCCTTGGGTTTCAGTTCGTACCGTTGGGTTTTCATACGCCCACTTCACGTCTGGAGGCCGCGCTAAATTATGCAACACCGGGAGAGGATCAGGTGGAATGCGGTGTTGCCTTGTCAGCAAGTGGGTGGAATACTTTCACAATGAATAATTTTGCGTCGGATCTCTTGCCTTGTGCATAGATATTGCCTTGTCGGAAGAGAAACAAGCAAGGGGCACGTTCAAATATTTACCTTGTGTTGTGTCGCCTCGCGACCACTCGAGTGGCATGCGTTCCTCTTGTGGGGTTACAGGCAGGCACTTCGGTCGATCTAACGTCTAACGTGCGATCCTACTGCTCCTTCGCGTGCAGTTACATGTACGGACAGCTGGCAACATTGGCACACGAGCAGGGTCTAGACTCGCCCCGCAGCTGACAGTACCAAATTTCGCAAATATCCTTTCAGCAGTTACGGAGGTGTAACATGCGGACCGACAAAACTCCCCATATGTGTTCGCAACTCATCGCACCGCATGGACACAGTTCAGCGATTTCGCATTTGATGTGTCTGAATCGACCTCTGGAAGTGCGAGTCCCATATTAATTGTGCGTTGGCAAATTTTGTGGGGCCCCGTATTTGGTGGGCGTAATTTTGACGAATTTAGGCTGGAAGAGCTGTATAAGAAGCACACAGTAGCCACTTGGGGAACCATCTCAACATTTGCTTGGAGACGGAAGAAAATCAGGAAACCTTTGTCAAAATAGCAGGTCGCAGGAACTTCCGCTTACATACCGACATCTAACGATCAATCTGGCAACTAAATAACATAGAAGAGGTTCCCTGAGGCTCTCCTGACAAGTGCGCCTTTGCATAATTTTTATTAATACATTGGTAATTTGTTAGACATCAGTGTAACAATGCACTCGTTATAAAATTAGATTGCTTATGTAATGGACAAGGCAGGAAGAAAGGTACGGTAATCCGCGATAAGGTGACGTTTACTCGTGTGGAAGACTACCGACGTTTAGGTGGAACATGTGCCTCCATATTCAGGGTTGGAGACTAAAAAGCAAAATAAACTCTGTGGCCTGTAGTCCGCAATCGAACTATACTTATCGAGCGACCGCTGCTTGTCAGCGAAGTTAGTGCCAACTTTTGCTGATAGAGGATGTTGCGTGCTCAATGCAACGGATCCCCACAGCCGTTAATCACTGTTTTCTAGAAGTAGCTCCTCAGTTACCCTCACGAGGCTGAGTGGACCCCGTTCCAGACCCACTACTCAGGATATATGGTAGCGCCGGGAATCGTACCCGGGACCTCCGGATCTCTATCCAGGATCTCTGACCACTAGACCACAGAGACGGTCGGGTTGGAGACTGAGCTACGCAAAAAGAAGCAAGAAGCAGGCGGGAAGCAAATGCCATCATAACCCCGTGATAATTTCGAAAAATATTTTCGAATGCGTGTGCTACCAAGAGACCGCCCACTGGGGTGGGGGATTAATCAACCAGGCTCGAAGCAGCGATGCTAAATTTTGAATATGGGTTTAGTATTTTCTCACCCGCTAGTTAGAACCTAGTCCCTGTCCGTGTCCCTGTCCCTCTGCCGCTCATAAGGGCCGTCGGTTTAGCCCAGCGAAGGGACTCTCAATGCTCCGTGTGGGCTTGGTCCCCCGGGGTGCTGAGTTCGGATAATACGCGCTTGATACTGTGACATATAGACCCATTGCCAAGTAACAGTTCTGTAAAAAAGACGACAGTACAACAGCCGCTGCTGGGGAACAGCTCTGTGCGCTCGTTGTTTATCCGGCAACGAGTGAAGACGTTTTCTGTGCAGTGCCTGGTGGGACTATACGTGGTCTGTCCAAAAAGAAACCGAACTTTCTTTTTGAAACATTTATTGATAACTTTACAACTTAATAAGACTTGTCTCCTTCAAAGTACTCCCCTCCACTGCTATACACCCTTCCAACGTTTTTCCCAGTTGTGGAAAGCGTCCTGGAACGTGTTTAGCGGGATAGCGCCTAGGCCCCATAGCGAATTTTCTTCTAGCTCTTCTATCGTCTGAAATCGGCGACCTTTCAGAGTGGATTTCAAATTCTGGGAAAAAGGTCTGCAAGGACCAAATCTGGAGAGTAGGGCGGTTGGGGGACGACAGTCGTCTCGTGCTTCGCCAAAAGCTCACGGATGAGGAGCGACGTGTGTACAGGTGCGTTGTCGTGGTGGAGAATAAAAAACGATCAACAACACCTTCACTGTTTACTGCGAGACCCATACCGAACACACATATATGTGGTGTGGATAAAATAGACAATTGTATAATGTGAAAGCAGGTGGTTTGTATAGTTACCATTGTGCTGTAGATGATTTATGCCCTTCACTTCCTTATCAGGGGCACTACTTACCCTCGACCCTTCGGCCACCAGGGTTACTGCCTTTGACATGAGACGAAGCTGAGCGACATTAGCCCACTGTCCATGCATCCACACAACATTCTTGATGGAAGAGTTACTGCGGAGTAAAGGCTTACTGGCAGCAGGCAGAAGTATCCTCCCCGGTCGCTTTCGCTCTCAGCAACAGTCTCAGGCCACTGCTTAATTTCATCACTAGAGCTAACGGCCGAAGGCTGGGAACCTCCTAAAAATGGCCCTCTTTCTGCTCTCCCCCAAATATATTGCCTCTCACTCATCCCATGACTTTCTCTTTTCACCTGCACGTCTGCTATTCTTTCATATCTCTCGCCATCCTCAGGCGTTCCTGTCACTACTCGTCGCATCAAGTGACGCAGGATTGCGACTGGCTGGTCCCCTCCACGTCGCCCCCATCGGCTTTGGGGCCCTCCCAGCGTCCTATCCAGGACTTTCCCCGGGCGTAAAGCGGCCGGGGCGTGAACCTGAAGACTCACCACTCAGTCACACATCTTCGTCGCATAGTGGTCGTGACACGAGCTGCCCCTTGCTCTGCGCGTGCGCAGGCCGATGCAGCGGAGGTGTTGCTCCAAGCCTCGGGCAGACTGGCCGACAAGTCCACCTCAGTCTTAATCGCTTCCTTCCAAATCCTTTCCATTTCATTCACTGAGACCAAGTTTGACCATACATGATCTGAGGTGTTATTGTCAGTGCCGTTAAATCAACTACACATGTTACACTAAACTCAGCACTGGATAGAGGTGAACGGTCAGCTTCACGCTCCAGTCACTTTACCCCTGCAGACAGAGCCCCCGACACATATTGGACAGCAGGTTGTGTGAATCCCCCCGCTGTGTGGAATCGAAAGTGGATTCTCCAGTAGTGGAGCCTGTACGTGATGTGCTGTACCCGCTCTGTTTAGTGTACTGACATTCAGTTGTCTTTCTTGTGCGCGTCCTTCACGCCCACCATTCATCTTCCACCGCAGCAGCTCTAGAGGCCACTAAAAGTTTGTAAAGCGGCCTGTGACGTCACAGCGCACCGCAGGGAAGTAGCTTGAGGTTAGGAATGCTGTCTCTTTGGAAGTGACGCCATCTTGTCCGGTGGAAGTTCACCGACGTTTCATAATGAACGTACATATTTCTCTAACTTTAGTGTCGAAGGTGTACTGAGTTGGTTTTTGCTTGCCTAGCGTGTCTTTCACCCTGAAGATGGAGGCACGTCATTCCCCCAAAATGTTCCGCCACTTCCGGCTTTCAGCATAGTGCCTTCAACAACAGAGAGAAGTAAGGGAAGAGAACGTAATGGAAACCTATGTGTAGATGGGAAGATAATATTAAAATGGAGTATGAGGAAACGGGGTGAGAGTGTTTGGAATGGATTTGTGCGGCTCTTGTATAGCTGAGCGACTGTTAGCTTCCCAAGAAGAACGCAGCCCAATAGAGTTGGATATCAAGGGGGAGACTGTCTTTGCCATGTGATAAGAGCCAAGACGACGCGCTGACATTAGTGGGGGGGGGGATACAGGGCCAATTGTTCTCGGGTNAATGAGAAAAGAGCGAGAGAATGTATTGTTTGTCACGTGACTGAGTGACTACACGGAGTTTGGATTGCTAAGTGGATTTATTGAACACTTACAGACCGTCACTACAAGTAACACTAGCGCTGTCGCTAGTTCATGCACTACAGCACGCACTGAGTCTTCTCAGTCTGCTGTAGCTTCACCGGTTGTTGCCTGGTAACGGCTTTCAACAACGTAGGTTCCTCAGATTGTTGAGAACCGTACGGAGCACAAAAATACACTGTGTGGGCAGAATGTTAAAGCAGGTGGTACGTATACTAACCACAAGGCTTTAAAGGGTCAATCCTTTAGAACGCAGAGGAACCTGTTTTAATATTACAATGGCGGAGACCTTGCGTTACCATGAAAATTCAACATGAAATCCAGACAACAGCGAGTGTTTGCCTGACGCCGTACCTACTGTGTCCTTGTCTTCCAGCGTTCTTGCAGAGTGGTGTCGCTGACACGTCAGATCGTGAGACTTTCACTGCAAGTTACCTTTTCTTGGCCCAGTACATGCCAAACAACGCCGTGGATGATTTTGTGCACTGCATCATGGAGTACGTGTTTTACAGTGGAGTTAATCGCTTATATTCGGGAGGTTCGCGGTTTGAGTCTTGGACCGGACACCAACTGCCTTTCGAGGCAAATGCCAGATAGTACCGCTATCTGGCATTTGCTCCGAAATGCTTTCCCATTCATTGTTCATCAGTCTTGCTGGCGTCCTTCGCGATATAGTCTAGATGTTGATAGCGTCGCGAGTCATCCCATAATAAAACCTGAGTCAACCCGTACAGCCGGCACCTAGCTCTGTTCCAGCGAGGACAATCAGGGGCTCACAAACAGTAAGGAATTCACTGAACAGCTTGGAGAATCTGGAACTCGCTGAACAGCGTACACAGCAATCAGGAATAGCTGAACAATCTATACAATCCGGAACTATCTGAACAGCCTGTACAATCATGAACTCGCCGAACAGGCAGTACAGTGAGGAACTCGCTGAACAGCCTGTACAGCCAGGACCTAACCGAACAGCCTGCATAATCAGGAACTCGCCGAGCAGGCAGCATATTGAAGAACTCACTGAACAGCCTGTAGAGCCAGGAACTCACCGAACATCCTGCACAATCAGGAACTCACCGAACAGGCAGCTCAATGAGGAACTCGCTGGACAGCCTGTAGAGCCAGGAACTAACCGAACAGCCTGCATAATCAGGAACTCGCCGAACAGGCAGCATGACGAAGAACTCACTGAACAGCCTGTAGAGCCAGGAACTCACCGAACATCCTGCACAGTCAGGCACTTGCCGAACAGGCAGCTCAGTGAGGAACTCGCTGGACAGCCTGTAGAGCCAGGAACTCGCCGAACAGCATGCACAATCAGGAACTCACCGAACATCCTGCACAATCAGGCACTCGCCGAACAGGCAGCTCAGTGAGGAACTCGATGGACAGCCTGTAGAGCCAGGAACTCGCCGAACAACCTGCACAATCAGGAACTCACCGAACATCCTGGCAATCAGGAACTCGGCGAACAGCCTGTACAAAGAGGAACTCACCGAACAGCCTGTGCAGTCATGAACACACTTCAGCGACAAGCCGCCCCTTCAAAAGAGAGAGGGGCTGGCTTATGTACCCTCCGCGCCCCCGGAGCATTCCGAAACGTCTACAGCAAATTCCATTCTAAATTACGTGACGACGCTTACAGCGGAGCTGCATCGTCCTCTGATGTTTCTGCGGTTCCAGGGAGGTCCGTATGCTCAGTCGAGCAGCAGACTGACCATTTGTGCGCGTCTCTTTTAGTCGTTTTCTGTGGGAACAGATGGAAATATGCAGACGGACTGAAATGGCAACAGGATTGACAAATTACCAAATAATAATGTAGAGCAGATCTTGAGAAGGAGCCGCGGAAGTTTTCATTTTCTTCTGTTTCGTTGCCTTGTGTTCGTGCAAGCCAGAATCCGTTCTCTTCTGCGATATCGGCGTGCGAGGAGGCTTCGTACGTAACAGTTTTGGCGCCCAAGATGATGATATGTGTTGATTTCCTTCTGCAACTTCTCTCTGGAACATTTTCCGCTCCGACGAACATTCAGCGAGTTACGCGCGTAGGTCTTCATATGAAGTGTTCGGTATTGTTGTCCAATTTCAACTGAAGATGGAACGAGTCGACAAAATTCAGTTAAACTTGCCAGTTCATTAGAAGGGTCCAGCTGCGACTTCCCGGCTGTAGCGTGTCGACAGACGGATGCATTTTTAATTAGGAACGCGTCAAACCCAGAAGTTTTATTATCGAGCAATCCGCGGCTCTGCCGGAGTATGACCCTAAGGGTTCAGTTGCAGAATGAGCCTCAAGGGGCTTGGCGCCAAGACCAACCGACTGGAGGTAAACCGCCAGTCGTAAAGTGACTCTAACACAGAAGCCAGTGAGTTTTGAGACGGTAGCCAACCGGTAAGGACATTAAGAATCTCCGTTTTTAGAAGCCAGTACCAAACAATGGGTAGTGAAGACTGAGAAGACTTTATGTCGTGTGTTGTAGTGATCTTTGGCGTGTGTAAGGCGGCCCATACGCGTACGAGTCCGGCTCGGCGAGGAGTCGGGCTCGGATTAATTTCACCACACATGTATGAGCGTGGTGACCCACACATGGACGAGTTTGGCTCAGTGGAACCCGAGCCGAGTCGGACTCGCGAGCCAGACTCGTACGTGTATGGGCCCCCTAAATCAGCGAGACTGTTATGACTGCAAGCGTTCAGTGAAACTAGTTATGAATAGAAATCACGTGTCACATCACTAAATGGAAGCAGTGTTTTTGTGCGTCCTGTTGTGCCTACTCCGGCCCCTCTGAAGTGCACGGCCGGCGGCCGGGCTTGTATGACGTGCATTTCACGAGATGTGGGAAGTTCAATGAAAGGAAACTTCAGAGGCAAGCTTCTGCGAATTTCAAGAAACTTTCAAGGACTCTAAATTGTGTACTTCTTTTGCTAGCGAACAAACTCATTTAAAGCGTCAGTTTAAGTTAAAAGTTGACTTTGTTCGAGTAATGCGTCGACAACAGTGGAGTCTCTCTGTTACTGAGCTGAACGAACGCCGAGGCAGCGCTAGAAGGGAACAGCGAAGCCTTGGGATCTGCAGCAGAGCTATGGGTGGGCCTCAGACGAGAGCGTGGGAACCCTGCGCCCCGACAGGGGAGCCACTGCTGTATTTGAGGAAGGAAACAGTCCACCGCGAAAGGATAAAGACAAAACAGAGATTTCTAAACTTAGCGCGTAGCCTGCTGATTAAGATTCTGCAGTGTCCACTGTTCTATTTGGACCGAAGAGAGATGAAGTGACGGGAGGTTGGAGAAAACTGCACAATGAGGAGCTTCGTAACTTGTACTCTTCTCCAAGTATAATTAGAATGATCAAGTCAAGGAGTGTGAGGTGGACAGGGCATGTAGCACAGATGGTAGAGGAATGAATGTAGGATATTTGTGGTAAAGCCAGAAGGAAAGAACCATTAGGAAGACCAAGACGTAGGTGGTCGTGCAATATTGAATTTAATAGATCTTAGACAGGATTGGTTGGTATGGACTGGATTGATCTGGCTCAGTATAGGGACCAGTGGAGGGCTCTTATGAACACGGCGATGAATCTTCGGGTGCCATAGAATACTGGGAAGTTCTTGAGTAGCTGCACAACTGGCGGCTTCTCAAGTAGGGCTCAGCTCCATGAAGTTAGTGTTCAGGGTTCGAGAGTGGCCATGTCAGAGGCCCCATTACTCTGTGCCGTCGCCCTGATGAAAGAAGCAGAACTGGTTGGCGAGAAGTGTGTAGAAATCCCAACGGCATCCTTTGAGGTTTGCTTGCGCCCCATTTAAAAATGGAGTCTCATTAAACCACAAATTGCAGTACATAAAATAATGGAAGTTCGTATTTCAGCTTCGAAGCTATGTGCAGTATTGCATTACAAAAGAGTTGGAACAGTTGGCGCGTTGCAGAGAAACTTACATCTGTGGCCTTATGGAAGGTAGACATAGTGATAGGTCAGTATGGCTAGAGGACAACATTCCTGGTATCGAATTCCGCCAAAATTCGATTGCGCTGTAAAGAACGATAGACAGCATTCGGAAGACTTACAGAGCGCTCTGGTGTCCAGCCAAAGATAAAGGGGCAGCTGGTGTTCACTTCACGCTTGCAGTCCAGTGGGTATCCCGGGGTGGGGGGTTAAAGCTGCCAGACAGTGAAGCTTAGGGCCGAGGTAAATACCTCCACTCCCCAATACGTCTTCATGGTCTGGTGATAATTAATTTAGCACAAGGATACGTGACGTCCGTGACGGCTGCAGCGGGGCAGGACATGTCCACGTGACGGCTCCTGACAGCTGCAAGGCGCTCATGAAATCGTTTATTAATTTTATATGGTACGAGCCATGATCGAAAGTTCACGGAGCCGTGAGGATATTCCACTCAGGGGATGAGCGTGTTCTGTTGGACGGGATGGGACGCGAGAGCACGGCGGTCGTGGGCAGGGTTCTAGCGGTTGGAGAACGTGTAGTACTGCTGCTGGTGCTAATACTGGTACTGCTGCTGCTGATACTGGTACTGCTGCTGCTGGTGCTAATACTAGTACTGCTGCTGCTGGTGCTAATACTGGTACTGCTGCTGCTGGTGCTAATACTGGTACTGCTGCTGCTGGTGCTAATACTGGTACTGCTGCTGCTGGTGCTAATACTGGTACTGCTGCTGCTGGTGCTAATACTGGTACTGCTGCTGCTGGTGCTAATACTGGTACTGCTGCTGCTGGTGCTAATACTAGTACTGCTGCTGCTGATTCTGGTACTGGTACTACTGCTGCTGGTGCTAATACTGGTACTACTGCTGCTGCTGATACTGGTACTGCTGCTGCTGGTGCTAATACTAGTACTGATACTGGTAATGGTACTGCTGCTAATACTAGTACTGATACTGGTAATGGTACTGCTGCTAATACTAGTACTGATACTGGTAATGGTACTGCTGCTAATACTGGTACTGATACTGGTAATGGTACTAGTGCTGCTGCTGCTGATACTGGTACTGGTGCTGCTGCTAATACTAGTACTGATACTGGTGCTGTTGCTGTGACTCATATTGTTCCCTTACTATAGGATGAGCCAAAAGTCATGTACACTACAGACGAGAAAACCGCCCCGTTCTGAGTATTAATATCCGTACACTGGCACAGCGGACGGGCGTCTCGTGTGTGTGGCGTGGCTTCATTTATCCCGTTACATCAACAGCCAAGTAACGATAACGGCCTGGACTCGTATTCGGGACGTCTTCTGTTGAAATCCCGCGCTGAAGTTTTCTTGCGTTTTCTCGGTCCTTCCAAAAATTCTTAAGTAGGATGGCAATTACGCAACGACCGCTACCTTCCAAATTCCTCCCAGTTCATCAGTCACCTGACAGCTTCGCTCAGTAACGGTCAGCCACTCGCGGTCTGTAGTGGGGGTTGTGTCTGGCAGGTCAGGGAGAGACGGAACCTTATTCCAGGCGATTCTTTTGTAGAACTCGTTTCGGTATTTGATGGGGTGTAGACAGAGAGAATTGGGGGGGTTACCCCTCCTCAGGAGCATTTCCTGCAGTGAGATAAATCGTATCTGCTGTTGACGTCACCTCTCACGTACTCCCGGGGGGGGGGAGTAGACTTTCGGAAACTGTGCCCACCCCGAGATTATCGCCACCCTTCGCCGATCGCTTGAGCCATTAATCGCGTGCGACGAAACAGATGCAAGCTGAAGATAACTCGTCACTGACTGGAAATCCCCGCTCGCCATCTTTGCAGTTATTAGTGGATTGCACTTTACCTGAAATTACTACCCGCATCTACCCGAACTCGTTGGATTGTGAGGCCTGTACAATGGGTTCCGTCACCTCTGATCCAAGCATCACTAACTTTTTTCATCCTTGGAAGTCTAAGGATTTCTGTCATCCAGCAATTGACATTAACACATACAGTGCATGACTGACACGCACGAATTTATTGCAGTCCGTCTGTCTGCAGGGAGATCTTCCGGGTTTTACGTCAGTCTCCATGGGCGACAGACAGGGCATCCACCGAGCCCATTCTTACTTCACTCACCGTGTTGTTGGCTTTGTGCAGAACCAATCCCGGGGTTTTAGTAACGTTTCTCGTGCTGGTTCACATGATTCTGTCGTCCAGCGCCCTGTATTTGTTTAAAACGTTTTCGAGACCCGACTTAAAAGACATACTCAATTGGTCCCAATCCATACAGATATCCCGTGATGGTAACATCAGGAACCTACATCTACAGTAAGCTGTAACGTGTTCCTCTACCACGTACACTCATGAAAAGTGCAGTTCTGCACACTGTTGCAGGTCCCTACCAGGCTCTACAGTGACACTTAGCTTTACGGCCTCTCTGCACCTACAGTAAGCTATAAAATGTTCCTGTACAGTCACGAAAAGTGAAGTTCTGCACACTGTTGCAGGTTCCTACCAGGCTCTACAGTGACACTTAGCTTTACAGCCTCTCTGCACCTACAGTAAGCTATAAAATGTTCCTGCACAGTCACGAAAAGTGAAGTTGTTCACACTGTTGCAGGTTCCTACCAGGCTCTACAGTGACACTAGGAACCTACTTAGCTTTACAGCCTCTCTGCACCTACAGCAAGCCGTAAAATATTCCTCTACGGGCACGAGGAATTGCACGAAAAATGTAAGCACTTAATTAAATCTTATTGACTCTGCGAGAACTGTGCGCGGGAGCACTTGGTGACCGCTCTGCTCTCATACAGACGTGCAGCTCCCCTGTAGCGCTTCCTGTCTAACGAGAACTCTGTGTACTTTGCGTTGCCCCCGCTCGGCGGGATCAGTTGGGAATTCCTACACGATGAAAACTTTGCTAGAGCTCGACTTGAGAAGACAGGAACCAACTCTTGTAGTTTTAATGGAGCGAAATGACACTCTCGGGGTCCGCTTAGTGTACGCCCAGTTACAGAGAGCCCCCAGGTGTGCAAACGCCCGCATTTCTGCACGTTCATAACACACTTTGGGATAATTGACCCTCTATTTGAATCTACTCACGTAACTTAAAAAAACGCAAACAGAATTGCAATGCCATGTAATTAATTGCCCCATAGCTTGTATACGCAACATCTGAATACTCTTAGCACTGAGCTGCAGTTGCCCTGGGGTTACGCCACTGGACATCGCCGCTCCTGCGCCCACAACGAACACTGGCAGCGAGCGTCATTACACAAAGACCCGGGGCCGGTGCTACAGGATGACTAAAAATAAACATTATTATCTTTCGTGATGTCACGCCATGTCGTTTGGCCTCGAAGGAGCCTGAGACACTACGCTACAAGCCGTAAGGTCGCGGGTTCGATTCCCGATGAGGTAATTGGATTTTTTAATTGACCTAATCCTTCCAGCCGCATTATGGCCCAGGGGTCGACTCAGCCTCTAACAGAAATGACTACCATGAATCTTCCTAGAGCGTAAAGGGCGGCCGGTGCGAAAGGCTGACAGCCTCACCGCCATCTGTGAGTCGATTGTCTAGAGAAAATGTGGGAGGCTCGAGTCTCACAAACCAAAGGCCCTCCACGGCTTGTTACAGGGATAGCTTTACCTGTTTTACGGATCGCCACCATCCGCAGGGTAGCAGATAAGGGTGGCAGACTTCCCCGAAATGTCGGTGTTCGTCTACCACACTGCACGGCGTCACATCCCTTCGTAGGCATTATGTGGGTGTAAAATACTATGTAGTAAGGTATGATCATGAATCACGCGAATCTCGGACCCGAGAATGACTGCGCTAACGAGGACCACTAGCAATTGTAAATGACAGACCCATCCTCTCATCAGAGTGGCTGTTACATAAGGACTATGACGGCAAGGGTTCATTTGAAAGAAAGAAAAATTTGATGGCCGTGAGTCTCAAGGGGCTACTCGCCAAGACGAACTGATTAATTGTAAACCGCCAGTCGTACAATGACTCAGACTCTCCCAGTTTGAGAGTTGCAGTTGTGAGAAGTGAGAAGCTGAGGGGAACTTCTGCCATTGAGCCGCTACCAAGCAACGGCTAGTGAAGACTGAGAATACTTTATATGTGGTGTAGTTACAGCGATCTTTGGAGTTGTCATTATTTCCAGTAACGAGTGTATAACACAAGTACAGTTTTATTTTCAGTCTTATACTGCTACATGTTTCGGTCACATACACATAAGACCATCATCAGGAAGTTATACACAGGAATACGGTGTACTCACTGCATTCGGACGCACGTTAACCTGCATTCAGACTGAAGAGTGAACTTTGGACGCCCCTGCAATTGTACACCCATCACGTGATCGCTGCATGATTTCATTCAAAGAGCGAAGGATATATCGCGTGCATTTGTTTACGAGGACTCTCTCGTCTCCGCGAATGGACTATAGTCCACATCGCACAGTACACTGAACTGGGCTGTACAGGGCTCTCATGCAGAAGCACCTCGCATTGAAGTTCTCTTGGGAGAGCCGCTCTTTTCATTTGAAAGCAGAAAACAAGAAGTTCTGAGAAGAACTAATCCCCCTACATTCCTTCCATATGTAACGGACTGCAAAGAAAACGATTCATCAACAGTTCTCTGTAGTTCCATGAATTCATTACCGCGGTAACGTTTTTACCGAGCCGTTGCTTAGCAACAGACAGACTGATGGTAGGGATATATTAGGCACAGTGCTGAGATGCGCCCAGGTGCCACCACGATATGCACCCCCCCCCACACACACACACACACATACAGAGTTTTGTAGAGATTGCTTCAAGCATTCAAGATTTGATAAGGGGGATACGCAGACAACATGGCGAGAGCATAAGCCTACTTTCTTGTTTTCAAAATAAGAAAAGTAGCCTAAACGCTTTAACCGCTCAGGCCTTTAGCTTGTAATGCTGTAAGAGAATTGCAAGGATAAACTGAAGCCTTGGTCCCGAAATAGTCTGTCTACATTAATTCTGCAAGCGTGAGATTTGCCATTACGCAATGTAACGTTACCGTAACGACGAATTCTGCAGCAGGTCGGACGGCCCTCAAGGTTTTTCTCCTCTTCACAGTGTCCACACCGCGTTTGGGACCCACCAGGTCTATCCAATGGGTACAGGGGCTGTTTCCCCGGAGGTAAAAGCGGACGAGGAGTGAGACTCTGACCTCTCATCTCCATTTAGGGCCAAAGTGAACAGTGGTGGATCTGTATCTCCACTTCCCCATATTTTCATAGTCTAATGCTTAATTAATCAAGCACGGGACGACTGTACATTAACATAGAACACGAACGAGCGAGCAGTCCTTTTTAGTCTATTGTATCTGTTATGTACGATGCGAATATGTGAAGTGTAGTGTACTATATGAAAGAGACGTTTCAAGATTGACTAATTTTGCTTGTTATTGGTGCGAGATGGCGTGTAGTGCTGGAAGGAATGCGGAAGAAAGCAAGGGAAGTCGGCAGTACGAAGCCTTACGCAACACGCGATGGAGCTTCCCGCTGAACTCTCAGTCGTTTGACATGCAGTGATTTAAGAGGGTTTTGCCAGCATTCAGACTTGATTTCTGTATGAGCGAAAGGTCCTCCGAAACGTTGCTCCCTGTATACCAGACTGCAAGGCGGTACATGCCAGAAGACTAGGTAGATTCAGTGGAGTGTCCAGTGGGAGGCTCTGCAAGGGAAGAGGGGCGTCCAGACATCTCAAACTAACCAAGTATGGCTGGCCGCGCCATAGCTCAAGCGGTTAGTCGCTGGCTTCCCACCGGGTCTGGTCAAGTGGGATTTGTAGTGAAGAAAGCGGCGCTGGGGTGGTTTTCTTCGAGTACTTCGGTTTCCCCTGCAAATCCTCATTCCACCAATTGCTCCACAATCACCCTCACCTATCATCTGGAGCTGGTACAATAGGCCAGAAGTGGCCGCAGTACAAGTGACTGAGTCCCACCCCACTGTCAATAAAAAAAAGTATGGCTGGCCAACTGACTTACCAGCTGGCTGTCTATCCACAAGACTTAACAAGTTAGCTACTTACTTGGACAACTGGCTGTCTAGTTAGGAGACTTAAACAGCCAACTGGCTGTCTAGATAGGAGACTTAACCAGCCACCCGGCTGTCTAGCTGA